TTCAAAGCCAGCCTCAGCAATTTAGTGAGGCCCTAAGCAACTTAAAAAATGTCTCAAAAAATGAAAAGAACTGGCGATGTAGCTCAGTGGCAAATCACCCCTGGGTTCAATCCCCAGTGGGAAAAATTTATAAAAATGGGGGGAGTGTATAACTCAGTGGTTGAGTACTTGCCTAGTATATGATTTTGATTTCCCCAAACTGCAAAAATAAAATTAAAAGAGGTCCTATGTAAGTAAGTATGCAAAAAGGAAAGCAGTGACTTTTAGACCTGAAAGAATGGTTTGTCATGGCATCTGGCCTGACACAGGACCACAAGCAAGTTTCTCTTGAGAGGCAGGAGGGCTCCAGGATCTGAGGTATCCTCCGCCAATCTGCCCATCCCTGGAAGAGCCACTTTACCAGGTCTACAAGTAAGGCTTGGTAAAGGTGATTCAAGCGGGAGGTAAGGGAGACAATGAGAAATTGAATTCAGTGGTGGGAAATGAAGCAAAGCCAAGGCAAAGTCCTGGCTATAGTGCCAAACCACAGAAATAGAGGCCAGAAACTTTATCCAAAGGCATCCCTGACTCAAGGTCCTGAGCTGCTGACATAAGCGCCCACCTGTACCCTTTTCACTGCCTGGAGAGGACCAGCTCAATTGATGTAAACTGTTTTAATTCTTCCAGACCGTTGTCATTTGATTGGATCCCATACCCCTTTTGTGCTATGACTTTCTTAGTGGAAAGTAACTTGGGAGCAAATGGGCATGGTAGGAGGGGGCAGGAATTACTGTGTGGTCTTATCAGCCAGAGAGCTAGGGTGATCTGAGTCAGTGCAGAAACTGCAGACCAGTGATTGGGTCATTCAATCCTTGTGCCTAGACCTGGAGGCTCGGGAGCGGCAGGCCCAGGCCCGGGGGAGTGAGGAGGAGGAAGAGAGCCAGAACACCAGGACGCTAGAGCAAGAGGTAAGCCTGTGGGCCATCTGCTGCAGGAGGAGTGGGGGGAGGAAGGATTTAGATGACTGTTGTGGTAGGGAGGCTTGCTCTTCCCACGTTCTTCTGTGGGAGATGGGTGATTTGTTCCACCCACAGGTTGCTGAGCCCTAGCGTGCAGGTGGGACCTTTACAAGGTGAATCAACCTGAAATTGGATCTGCACAGAATTGTCCCCCCTCCGCCCCCTGCTCTGTAGATTGCACGCCTACGAGAAGAGGGTTCCCGACAGCTGGAGGAGCAACAAAAGCTGATCCAGGAGCAGATACGTCAGGACCGTGAGCAGAGGCTGAGAGGTGAGAATACCACCCTCTCCTGTCTCTCCTTAAGGGCAGCTCCCCCTTGCCCAGAGCTAATGGCTGTGGAGGCTTCGACTTCCTAGAACCCATGGCACCATATTCTAACATACCAGTTCTTGGGGAACTTTTTTTACTCCCCTTGGGATCTCCTGCCACATTAGTATTAGTCCCACACAGAGTAGCTCTCTTTTGGAGGAGATCACCAGGGAAGGGCCCTGGGGGACTTTGCTTCAGTGGAACTATGTGGTCTGAGTCTCTGCTTCCTGCCCCCAGCAGGTGCTCCCGAGTCCTCATTTGGAAAGAGCTAACAGATGACCCTCGGGAGGTAGCCAAGTAGGCCACCCTGGGGATGGGGTTGGATGATATGCAATGTCCCCACCAGGCCCTCATTAGGTAAGGTAGGGCAGATACTGCCCTTGGTCAGAAGTAACCTTTTTTAGGTCCTCTGGCTTTTGGCTGCCTCCCCTCTGGAAGAACCTCATGTTTTATCTTCCTCTTTTCCCAATATTTCTAGGAAAGGTAGAAAGTACTGAATGCAGAGGAACTCCCAAACTAAAGGTGAGCCTGGACGGGATCTGTAGGCTACCCCATGGCACCTAATCCTCACAAGAACAGATGGTTTTATGTGGTTTTAGTGGTCTGTCAGGGATATTTAGTCTCTAAGGTCACCACCACAACTGCCATATCCTTTCCATCCTTCAGCCTCCTGGAAAGCAGGACTGCCCTCAGAGCTTGCCATGGAAGGCAGCTCTCAGGCCTGATGATTGCGGGGTAGAGCATTCCCAAGCCCTCTAAAGAGAGTGACTTACAGGGTGGGAAGCATTGCTAAGGGTGAGCAGGCCACCCTGCCTCTGTTTTCACCAGGAAAACATGTTTTTGGTGGTGCTTAGAAATGAGCAAGGCATCTGCTCAGACTGTCCAGCTCAGTTGTGAGTTTGGTTTTGTTCAGCCAAAGATCAATCTTTATTAATCTATCTTTTTAGCTAAAATGGAAGTGCAAGAAGGAGGATGAGTCCCAGGGTGGCTACTCCAAAGATATCCTCCTGCATCTCTTGCAAAAGGTATACCCTGCTGATTTTCTCCCTTCCTGTCATTCAGCACATAGCATATCCTACACCCCAGGATTTTTTATGCTCCTGAACATCTCTGCTTTTTGTTATTCTTATTTCTTGTTTAGGCTGACCATGGGACAGCCTAAAGACTTTTTTCCAATCTATGATCTTCCTATCCCTTGGGTTGCTATGTGCCCACTCCAGCCAGGTCTCTCCTTCATTACCCATCTAGCCCTTACCTTGGAAGCATGGGCTTGGCTGAGTGTGCTGGGAGAGGGGGGCATTTCTGGCATGAAAACCCTATCTTCATGACTGCCTTCAACTAGCTGAGGTAACTGTGCCATTATTCCAGCCTCTGTCCTTAGTCCTTTGTTCATCTCCTTTATTGTCCTGGAAAAAAAACTTTATTTCTTTCTCATCTCTGATCTCACTTCTCTGGGCTTCTAGCAATAAGAAGTTATCCTCATGCTAACAATGCCCTAGTGGGCCTCAGGGCAGCCCAGGCTGGTCTCTGGCACGTGCTAGGCATGGCCAGCAGCCCAGTCATGCTTACTAGACACTCTTGTCTCCACAGTATGGTGAAGTTCTCAACCTGGTGCTTTCAAGTAAGAAAGCAGGCACTGCCATAGTGGAGTTTGCAACTGTCAAGGCTGCGGTGAGTCCTGCAGGGGACTTGGGGACCACTGGTGTCCCTATCATTCTAGGACAGGGACCCACTTTTATGGGCCCTCCAAGTGGGTAATCCATACTTCCAAGTGACCTCTAGGCCATCCCAGAGCCTAGACCCCCCAAGTCCTAGGGTGAATGCTGTAACTTTTAATTTCATGCCAGGTGGCTGCACACCCTCCACCCTTCACCCTTCCAGGATTTGAGCCCCAGAATTCCTTCCCACTCCTTCTCCTTACTCCCCCAAAGCAGAAGATTGATCCCCACCACTTTTCCCATGAGAAGGGTCAGAGTTTTAGCACACTATTATTTATAGTAGTTGAGGTTGCCATCATTGTTTGTGGGACTAGAATGCTGGTTCTTTCTGGGGAATAGAGAGAACCAGTTAAATGGCTAACTTGATGGATGAGACGAGGACTGGGTCTCTGTTTGGCAGGAGCTGGCTGTCCAGAATGAAGTGGGCCTGGTGGATAACCCTCTGAAGATTTCCTGGTTGGAGGGACAACCCCAGGGCATGGTGGACCCCACTCCTCCAGGACTATCAAAGGTAAAGAGCCAGGCCTCACCCAGCTGGGCCTGATCAGGGCTCAGGGACCTCTTCTTATTTGTGCTCTTCTCAGGACCTTTCCTTCCAAGTTCAGATTGGTAGAATTAAAGTGAGACTGGGAGGTTCAATCTCACTGGAGAGTTGTCACTCGCTGTTGACGCCTTTTCCTCTCTGTGATGCTGGGGATCAAACCCAGGCCCTTCATATATGTACACTACACTCTACCACTGAGCAACACGCCCAGCCCAACACAGTATCCTTGGATCTTGCTTTCCTTCCACATCTGTCTTCTTCTGGGGCTCTAATCCTTACCCAGAAGGCACACAGGTTGCTTGGTTGTGGTTTGAAGCATTTGGAGCTTAGATGACCCAATGCTACAAGGAAGGGGCTAGTGACTAGGATAGCTGTGTTCTTCCCCAGCTCGTCTGTTTTCTAAGCATTTTTGACTCCCTAGTCAGGGGCCAACTATGAAGAAGCAGCGTCTCTCTAAAATAACAGTGGCCCTCTGCAGACCCTGGGGTGCCCCCACTGGTGGTAAAATGTACACCTTCCAACAGATGCTAGTCCAGTGCTGGCGGCTAGACCTCACGGCTCCATGAAGCCTTGTGTTTACCCCACCTCTGTGGCTCTCGTGTTTTCTAACCTAGTTGCAGTGCCTGGGTTTGTAGGCTTTCTGGGCACAACTGCCCCCACATGATGGGACAGATTGTTTTGGGGACAAGGTCTAGCAGCCTGGCTTTTACCTTTTTTGAAGTGATCTTGGTGCTTTTTTGGTGTGTCCATAGCTCCTCAATAGGTTAGCAGGAGTTCTGCTCACTTATTTTTCTCCATTTCTCTCTGAGGGACTAGAAATTTTATGGGTATGTCTTCCAGAATTGGACAGAGGAGGAACATGAAATGGTCTGAGCCTAACTCAAGACCCTGATTTAAAAGAGACCTCATTGGGGCTGAGGTTGTGGCTTAGTGGTATAGTGCTTGCCTAACATGTGTGAGGCCCTGGGTTCGAGTCTCAGCACTGCATATAAATAAAGATCTATTGACAATTAAAAAATATTTTAAAAAAACAGAGACCTCATTGCCAGGCATAGTGGTACAGTCCTATAATTCCAGCGATTTGAGAGGCTGAAGTAGGAGGATCTCAAGTTGGAGGCCAGTCTCAGCAACTTAGTGAGGCCCAAAGCTACTTAGTGAGAGCCTGTCTCAAATTAAAAAATAAAAAGAGCCAGGGATATGACTTCGTGGTATAGCACTTCTGGGTTCAATCTCCAGTGAGAGAGAGAGAGAGAGAGAGAGAGAGAGAGAGAGCGCGAGCGCTCATTCCCTGCCTTTAAGTCTCAGCATTTCATAGTCCCAGGTAACTCCATAGATTGTATTAGAAAGAACTTTATTCTTATCTCTGTTACAGAGGTGCCTTTCAGCTTGGCATCTCTGCACAAAAGGAAGAAAAAAAGGAGGCCCCAGATTTGGGTTATAGAGGCAGTATGTGTCCCAGTTTCTCTCTGCCTCTCTGCCACATTTGGAAAGACCTGCAAATCAGACCACATGGTCTGAGTGCTGCTGGACTCAGGCCAGGACACAGGGCAGGGCAGTAGCTCAGCTGATGGCCTTGGCCTGGTTGGTAGCCCCATTGTCAGGTTTGGGCCAGCCAGAGCTCTCAGTTGTGGAGGATCCGGGAGTCCAGTGGTGTCCCTCCTTGGTTTAGTATCCCTCTTCTGGTCCAGCTTTCCTTTTCTAGAAAGGAGATCCACCACTATTTTTGTAGCATTTCCCAAAGTTTCCCATCACTGATTGTCCTGAAAGTTCCCACAGCACCTCTTTGCAAGCTGCACCTGTGCCTTTGGCTGGCATCTCTTGGAGTACTTCTCTGGGCAGCAGGGATTGCTCTAGGCAGCTGTTTTGGCAGGCTGAATCTCTCATGTTCTTTTATCTGTTAATGATTTGTTTGGCCTCTTTCTCATATTTTGCTCAGTATTTGTACCTACCTTTCCTGCTCTGTAGCCCCTTCTTGCCATTGCAGCCCCTGGATACATCTCCCTTCCCCCACTCATGCCACTGAGGGTTCTAGGCTACCATTCAACAAGCAAGTCCAGTGAACCTTGGTCAAGTGATGTTAGGATTCATGCTGTGCTGTCCAGTATGGTAGTCACTAATCAAAGTGGTTGTTGAACATTTGAAATGTGATTAATGCAAATTGAATTTGCAATTTTATTTTATTTCAATTGATTTAATTTTAAATAGCTACATGTAGTGAGTAGCGACCATATTGGACAAAGGCAAACCTGTCTCCCTTTTTCTCTCAGGTCTCCCCAATTTCCTTTTTAGTCTGGGTTGGATCATTTTTGACTAAACATGTCCTGTGACCTCTCTGTTGATGGTGGCTTCAGAGGAGGCTGGTTCAGGATACTGTCTGTTCTTCCCAGTCTGTGTCCTCCCATACCCTAACTCACCCCTTTGCCACCCTGTCACTTGTCTGTCCTCTGCCTGGTTCCTGTAGTTGCAGGGTGTGGCCTCTCTTTCCTGTCCTCACCAGCTTCCTCTAGGGCTCTTGCTAGAAAGTGACCCTCCAATAATCCCAGCTGGTCTTTGTCCCTCCACTCTGGGGGGACTTGAAGGTATGTTGAGAACCCAGAGGGCAGGCAGAGCCCCAGTTTCCTTTTCTTTAATTCACAACTGTACTGTCCTTCTCTGGGTTCCCAGGCTCTGCCTCCTCCAGTCACCCCAGCTCTGTCTACCTTCACCCCACTCAAAAGCTAGGCTCACTAGGAAATTGCTCCCTCAGCATCTGTAGGACTTCTTCAAGAAGTGAAATCCCCAAATCCACTTTGAAGGAGAAGAAGGGATCACAGAGGTCCAGAGCTGGTGTCTTCTGGAAGGTGGCAGTGTCTGAAAGGTCCTCCTCTGACGACTGGTGGAAGGTGCTGGCCAGGGACAGCGCTGAGGGCAGGGTGGCCGAGTAGGCAGCAGTGTAGGTAGCTGGGGGCTCCAGGATGTTCGGACAGCTGGAGCTCTCTCGGTAGAGGCGTGGGGGCTTGGGTGGTGCCAGCAGAGTGGCCCGGGGCTGCTCATCCCCCCATAGGGGCAGACGCCGTCCATCTGGCCTCCCTTGAAGTTCCCGGATAACCTCTCTGTTGCTGTACTCCTCATGGTCACCACCAGCAGTGCTGGCCTGGCTAAGCACACTGCCCTGTCGCCGGAGTCGCCTCGGCCGTCCCAGAGTCAGCCGCTTGAAGAAGGAGGCATTGCGGAAGGAACCTTTTCTCCAGGTCTCCATGGGCTCTGGGGGACCAGTAGATAGTCTGGCACCTCAGAAGCCAGCAAACAGGTGTTCAAGAGCAGCTAGTGACCATTTAGTCCCTGCTGGAACAGCGAATGCCAAGAATCAGGGAGTCTGCCCTAGTGGGCTGGAAACAGGCCCTAGCTTTTTGGTCAGCATCTTGGATGGTGAGATGAGACCAGGAAGAGGGCACTTTTTGTCCAGGAAAGCAGAGAGCTGGGAGTTCCTGGTAGCAAGAGTTCCCACAGGGACAGGAGTGGCCTGGTTACTTGATAGGGCAATGGAAAAAAACCCAAAGGAAGAAACAGCACTTACGGAACCAGAGTGAGGGCAGCTCCGGTGGCGGTAGCAGAGATGAATCTTCTCAGCTGGGCGAGGGCAGCTGTGTGCTCCTTCCACAGGAGGCAGATGGGCCTCAACTCATCCTTTCATCGACTCCTGAGGGCATTTGCGCCCTTCTCTAGGCCAGTGCAGCGTTTGCCCTCTCACCAGCGGCTGCGGGACTCTGATTAGTGGCTTGGCTGTTTGTGCCAGTGTGTGGCAGTGGAGATGTGTTTTGTTTTCAGCTGACTCAGTCAGGTGGGAAGCCGGTTTCATGCTCTTAGGTAATTGCAGCATCCGCAGGCAGGGATTGGGGCAGCTGTGACCAACACCCCAGGGCAATGGGAAGCTTAAGATTCTTCTGGGGACTGGTCTGGGGGCAGCCCTGCATTATGTGTCACCATACTGCTTCCTTTCTCATCACAGTTCCACCACCCTGGCCCCAGCTTGCACACCTGGCCCCCCAGCCCCCAACGTCTGGGAGGAGCCAAGGGAGGTGGGTGTTAATTGAAAGGCAGGCTCGTGAAACAGCTGCTGGGGAAGGAAGAGAGACCTGTTGCTGGTGTGGGTGACTCAGCCCTGGGGCCTGGTGACAGGCCCTCATTAGCAGAGCCTGCAGGAATGGGGGGAAGGAAGCAGAGGGTGTGTTACGGGGAACAGCCCCATGCCTATAAAGGTCTTGGCTCCTCCCAGGGCTGGGCCTGGGGCATGCCAAGGGTGACTCTGGGTTTTCTTGGCAGAGCAACATTAACTTGGGGAGGGGAGCGTTGCCCTTCCCATGGCCTGACATCCTGTCTGGCCGCTTAGTTTCCTACTCCTCCCTCCTGGCAGCAGGAGATCAGTTGAGGGTCAGGGTGTGCTGCTCTCTCCTTCCTCTCCTGTCCTTCTCCTCTAGCCACTGGACCTTATTTGTGACCCCTCTTCTGTGGAGGGGGCTGGGTCAATTGCCACTGCTAGGAATTGTCAGCAGTGCCCCAGGGGTTTGGCTAGGATGGAGACTCTCCTAGGGCAGTGGGAGGGGTCAGGGCAGAATATTTCTCTGACATGACTCCCCTCACTCCACACCAGCTGACCAGGGCCAGGCAGCTTAACTCCAGCCACTCCCTCCTTATCCTCGGGTCTCTGACCACCATACTTTCCTCCTTGTCTATTCCATGTGAGTGCACCAGTGTGGAGAACCCCAGAACAGGGCTCTACAGCTTTCTGGCATGGATAGGACACCTCATTTGCAACCCTTTGTCTCTGTGTTAGTTTAGGTGGGCTTCACACTTGTCTAAGCAGCTAGTGGAGTCTGAATGGTCTCTCAGCTTTGGCTGCACTGAGGGAGGAAATGATCTAATTCTAATTCATATTGCAGACCTTATCAGGACCTGGGGCTGACAGCTCAGGGCTCTGCTATAGCACTGCCTTTCCACACGCAGCCTCAACCCACTGAGGTGGTTGTTTATTACTCTTTTGGTTATTAAAATATAGCCCTCCTTAATCCCCTGTACAGTGCTAACAAAATCATAAAAGCGGGCCACAGGCCCTGCGCTTCAGCCCTGCTGTGTATTTTTAGGCAGCAAATGGTCTCCTTGTGCTCACTTCCATAGTGGGGTTGTTTGAGGCTGTGTGGAGGGCAGGGCTCCCTTCTCCTGTGTCCTCAGCAGGAGCCTACCATAGGGAAGCCAGGCAGCTGGCTGGAGGCAGCTTTGGTCTGTTCTCAGCATAGCCAGGTAGATCCCTGAACTTGGGGCAGCTTCCTTCATTGGAACTTGTATGAGGCAGAAGCCATGGGGTAGAGGGAAGGAGTGGCAGATAAAGGCTGAGAGGAAATGGAGACAGGGCCTGGTGAGAGAATGGGGAAGTGATTCGCTGGAAAGAGTGCACAGAGCTGACTGCAGATGTGATGGAGCTGGTTAAAGAGAGGCTGGCAGGAGGTAATGGTCTAGATGGGCCAAATGGGAGCCAGCTGAGAGCCAGTCTAGAGCACAAAGCCAGCAACATTCTGAAGGAACATGGATGAGTAGATATTCCAGAAGGATGTTCCAAGGTCCTTCCCTTCTTGACCCTTAAAAGTGCAGCTCTGTCTAGGCCCCTTCAGTCTGTAGTCTGTGGGGGCAGTGCCCTGCTGGCCCTGACCACTCCTTGTCTCCTCTGTTCCCCAGGGCTCAGTGCTGTCGGAGAGGGACTACGAGAGCCTTGTCATGATGCGCCTTCGCCAGGCAGCTGAGCGCCAACAGCTGATTGCCCAGATGCAGCAGGAGGAAGAGGGGCAGCCCACATAGCCCCCAGCTCCAAACTTCCCACCCCACAGCCCTTTCCATGTTACACGCACCAATAAACTACATTTTTTTTTTTAAGTCTATCTCTACTCCATGCCTAGGTGTAGGGTATCGGGCTCTACCTCAGATGGCTGCACCCAGGCTCAGGCTCTCTTTCTGGGCAGGGATAGATCTGCAGCGACAGTAACTGCATAAGCAAAGTACAGTAGCAACCACTCATCAAAGCCATTTATTGGCTTGGACTAGCTGCGCAGGACCTGTCTGTCCAGGTCCCAGGGCATCCTCCACTGGAATGACCAGCTGCAGTGGACACCTGCCCCCAGAACCCAGCATACTGCAAGGGTCAGGCCTGCAGCCAGAGGACAGCTGGGAGCACTGGGGCAAGGGGCCTGTCCCCCATTTACTGGAGCAGGATTTCAGAGGCAGTTCAGTGCTCATGGGTGCCAAACTGGAGAAGGAAACAATTTGGGAAGAGAGGCAGTCAGTGGGACAGTATGGGGGCAGGGCCCATGGCAGACCCTCCAAAGGAGGAGTACCCCTTCTGCAATCAGGAGAAGGTCACTCCTTGTGCAGGCACCACACCAGTGTCTGGCCCACCCCTGTCATGCTCAACACCCGGAAGCCCTTGCGTTCCAGCTTGTCCAGGACTATGCGAGGAGGGTCGTTGACGTAGTACTCGTAACTGCAAAGAGACCAGAGTGGCGGCATGAGGGAACATAGACAAAGCTCCTACACAAAGCTAGTATCTGCTGAGGGTCAGGCCTGACAAGGAGCTCTCTTCAAAGTGACATTTACTGGCACTTCCTGGCTGCCAGGCTATGTGCACATTCCCATCCCCTCTCCTATGAAGCACTTTACGTGTCTTAAATTTATTCCTCCTAACAACCTAACGGAGGTACTATTATTGTTCTTATTACATGAGAGAAAACCAAGAGGGGCTGACTAGTTTTCCCATTGTCAGATAGGAGACCCAGTTAGTCTGGCAAAGCCACATGTCCCCTGAGTGCCCCACTGTTCAGGAAGAGTCACCTGCTCTTTTAGGCCTCACTCCTTGCCCAGCCTCTGGGTCATTCCTGATGGTCCTGCGGTCCTGGCTGTGCATGCTACTACCTGACATGGAGAATGCTTGGTTTCCCTTCTTTTAGGTTTAATTGGTGCTGAAAGGCCATGAAGCAGATAAGGGGCTTCAGCCCCATGCTGGGCATCTCCAGGCAAATGCCTCATGGCGAAAGGATGGGGGTGGCTTTTGCATTCCTATCCTGACTGAAGGGGCTGGGATCAGTTCTCTCTCCTTCTTTGAACTGGACTCACTTTGGCAACTTTTTAAAATATTCTTGAGTCTGTGTGGCCAGGGTCCTCCCCTACTCCTGGGTAGGAAGGGTGAGGTGCAGAAAAGTGGTCTAGATGTGGTCTAAAAGTGGTTTAGATATGGAGATAGTGTGAAGGATGCCCAAAAAGTGCCCTCACAGCAGCTAAGCTGAAAGGAGGACCCAGGCATTTCTAAGGCTGAGCTTTGTCACTCACCATTCAGAAACCTTTCTTTCCTGTCTTTGCTTGATGGGATCCAGCTTAGAGCTGAGAGGTCAGGGCAAGGAACAGTCCACTCATTGAGTCCTAGACCCAGAGAATAGACTGCCCTGGGCTTCCATTCAGGATGAACTACCTTATGAAGAAAGGCCAGAGGGAAAGCTTTCTGAGCGAGCCTCTGGGGAACTGTAAAGGAGCTGGGGGGAGAGCTGTGGGCAGGACCAACCCTACAGAGGACAGAGTCCCCCAATGCAGGTAAGAGGGCCCAAGCTGGGCATTGCCTTTGGACTTGGTGGCTGCGCAAAGGGAACAGGGCAGAACTAGGGGATTCCAGGGAGAAGGTACTAAGGGATATCACTACTTACAAGTTGTTTCCCAGGACACTTCTCTTTGAGGCCCCCAGATGCTGCATCAGCTCTGGATCTGAGTGTTCATCACCCACCATGGTGGGGCCCACCTCCTGCAAAGTAAGCCACAGTGGCTGCTTGGCTGGCTGCTTTGGCTGCTGGTAGAGGTGGGAGGTATCACTTTCTTCCTTCCCTGCCTGCTGCCCCTGAGCAAGCTTCAGGTAAAAGTGAATGAAGGTGGTAGTGAGGATCCTTGGAGGCTCACTATAAGCTGGGAAGGATGGAGCCCTTCCACACTCAGGCCAACAATGTGGGGCCTCCCTGACCCTTCTAAGTGGAACTGGGCATTGTGTGACTATTAATACCTTATGCCAGGCACCATCTCCCACATTTGTGTATACTAGAATTACCTGGAGAATGAGAGAAATGAAAACACATGTCCACACAAAAATTTGTACACAGGCAGGTAAACTTCCTGAGTTAAAAAACAAATGTTTTTGAACAAATGTACACAAATATTCAGTGTTAATATCCAAAAAAGGTGGAAACATCCTAAATGTCAGTTAACCTTTGAATAAACAACATGTAGTATAGTCTAACAGTGGAATCTTTTTTGGCAATAAAAAGAACACACTGATGCATGCCACAATATGGATGAAACTTGAAAACATGTAAGTGAAAGAAGTCAGACCCAGGAGACCACATGGAGTGACAGAAAATAGGTTAGTGGTTACTTAGTGCTGAGAGAGTTGGGAGGAAGGACTGGATACAGGGTTTCTTTGGGGAGAAGGGTGTTAGAAATGAATCAATAAAAATCAATAAAATTGATTATAGTGATGTTTGTGCAACATTGAAAATGCTAAAAGAGGCACTGAATTGTACACTTTAAATTAGTTAATTCTTTTGGTACGTGTATTTAATATCAATAAATATATATGTGGGTTTTTCAGATATTTTTTAGTTGTTGATGGATCTTTATTTATTTGTATGTGGTGCTGAGAATTGAACCCAGTGCCTCGAGCATACTAGGCAAGAGCACTACCACTGAGCCGCAACCCCCAACTCTTATGTGTTTTTTAAAAATATTTATTATATTTTTAGGTGTAGATTGACACAACACAATGCCTTTATTTTTATGTGGTGCTGAGGATCGAACCTGGGTCCCACCCATGCCAGGCAAGTGCTCTACCGCTGAGCCACAATCCAAGCCCCATAAGTGTTGTTTTTTTTTAAAACCTTTATTTTATTTACTTATTTTTATGTGGTGCTGAGGATCGAACCCAGGGCCTCACACATGCCAGGCGAGCACTCTACTGCTGAGCCACAACCCCAGCCCCTATATGTGTGTTTTTGATAGTATTGACTCACATATTAGACAAGAGCTCTAGCATTGAGTTAAAGTTCCAGTCCCCCCAACCTTTTTTTGATGGGGAGAGCTGGGGATTGATTCCAGGTGTGCTCTATCACTGGGCCACATTTCCCATACATTTTTAAAAAAATTTTGTAGTTGTAGATTAGACAGAATGTCTTTATCTTATTTGTTTATTTTTATGTGGTGCCAAGGATCGAACCCAGTGCCTCACATGTGCCTGGCAAGTGCTCTACCACTGAGCCCCAGCACTCCCCAGTGCACATTTCTAATACATTTTATTTAAAAAATTTAGTTGTAGTTGGACACAATATCTTTATTTTTATTTATTTGTTTTTATATGGTGCTGAGGATCAAACCCATGGTTCATGAGTGGAAGGCAAACACTCTACCACTGAGCCACAACCCCAGCTCAACATGTTTATTTTTTGAGACAGGGTCTTGCTATAAGTTGCTGAGGCTGGTCTTGAACTCTAAAAAAGACATATGAATAAGAATCATCTGGGCTGGGGATGTGGCTCAAGTAGTAGTGCACTCGCCTGGCATGTATGAGGCCTGGGTTCGATCCTCAGCACCACATAACAATAAAAATATTGTGTCCACCTAAAAATAATAATAAAAAAGAAGAATCATCTGGGCAGAACATTTCCCCAAACCCACAAAGAAAGACTGAGTTTCAGGTCTGGAAAGGGGACCCAGGAATTCACATTTTAACAACTATGTAGATGATTCAAGAACTGCTGCCCTGGTGCACAGCAAGATCTCTACTGCGGTAAACCCACCCTCTCTTTCCTTCATCTCAAGGGAACTGGGTCCCTCTGCTTGATCACCTGAGCCTGGGGAGAGGGGCATCCTATCGCCCAGCTGCAGTCCCAGTCATACTACTCTGAAGCTAAAAGGGGGCTTCCAGGATAATCAGCACCTTCTTTTTCAAGCTTAGCAAACTGAACCAAGAGAAGGGGTTATGCCTTCTGGCTCCTGGACAGCCTTCTCCCCAACGCTACCCTAAGTGCACCTCTCCTTCCTTCTTCACAAGCAGGACGTTCTTCTTTCCCTTCAGGGCTAACTCTTCCTAAAAGGGCATAAGGGTGTAGCGTAGGGGCCAGGGACTTAGCATATGGGGTTTAGCGCCTTAGCACGTCCTTTTCTTTCCCAAACCTCCTTCCACGGATTATTCCATTTCTTTTCTGCAAAACGGCCCAGTATAGAGTGTTGGATGCAGCACGTGTGAGGCCAGGGCTACCTGGCACCTCCATGGACAGGGAGGACAAGCCCGCCCTGTCGCGGGGACACAGGCACCCGGGCTCCTCCGCGGCCTTGGCACTCGGAGCTGGTAGAGCTTCCCGCATCTCCCCGCAGAGCCCGCTTCCCCAGTTCCCTCTCCTGGCAATCGCGGTGGCGTGTCGGGCAGGTTAACAAGTTCAGCCCCCGACCGCGCTACTAGGATAGAGGCAGGAAGGGGCAGCTGCGGTGTCTACGGCCGCGAGCCGCCAGGCGGTGGGTACTCACCATGCGGATCTGGGTGCTGATGAGCACATAAGGCATGATGCACGCCTCACGACCAGATCCCACTCGCAGCTCTGGACACGGCGCAGAAGCCAGGCTCTTCTTGCGTTGGGACTGCGACCCCGCTGCCCGGAATCCAGTTACTCCGGCTCTGGCCACTGGCGGCGCCAATCCTCTGGTGCCGGGCCAGGGCGGCTGGCCAATCAGGGGCGGGCAGCGGTGACGCGCCCGGCGCTAGGAGGTTCTCCCTGCCCTTGCAATCGGAGCCGGGGACTTAGATCCTGGGTCCCACCAGCTGCTTCCTCCGACCAGTCCGTCCGCGACGAACCGGGAGCATGGTGTGGAGCGCTCCCGCGGCTGGGAGGCGGTGGTGTCTGGGCGGACTCGACTGGCTACGGCAGCCGTGGCGTCGAGAGCGCGCGTTGACCCTGCGCCCTCTTCTTACAGCACCTCCTGGTACAGGTTCCAAAGTCCTGCGGGTCCCTGCCTCTTCCTGCGAAGCAAATGGCTCTCCAGCCCAGGCTCAAGCCCTCTCTGTCAGGGACTCTACAACAGCTTTAGTGGACCCCTTTCCCCTCTCCAAGACACGTTCTTCAGAGATTCCATAGACGCGCGGGATGCAGGGGCAGGAGGCTTGTGACTAGCACTTAATGTCAAAGCTGAAATACCATTCGGGACACACTGCGCGGTTCTGCCTCCCGGACTGTAATTCCCTACGAGTAATTCTGTACAGGAACTGTGGGCTTGGCTGGGTGCCAGTCTGGAGTGACTAGGTGGAATCTGGCTCTCTTTGGGGGAGCTTCACGCACTCCTGCAGAGACGAGGCGCTAGAGCAGGAGAACACAAGGCAACATCTGGGGCAAATGAACAACATCCCCAGCACCAGCTACTGGAGAGCAAAGACTTCATAGCCAGGCATCCACGCCCTCATCTGGATGTATCAAAATCTGACAGCTCAACACTCTGCCTTGTTGTGACTGCTTCTCTAAAAAGTAAAGCAAGGACCAGGGATGTGGTTCAAGCGGTAGCGCGCTCGCCTGGCATGCGCGGAGCGCTGGGTTCGACCCTCAKCACCACATAAAAATAAAATAAAGATGTTTTGTCCGGGCTTAGGATGTGGCTCAAGTGGTAGCGCGCTCCCTGGCATGCATGAGGCACTAGGTTCAATCCTCAGCACCACATAAAAGAAAATAAAGATATTGTGTCCACCTAAAACTTTAAAAAAATATATTTAAAAAAGATGTTGTGTCCACCGAAAACTAAAAAAATAATTATTAAAAAATTCTCTCTCTCTCTCTTAAAAAAAAAAAAGTAAAGCAAAACAATAGTACCCTGTAACTTTCCCTCCTGGGCCTTGGAAACATCTGCACTTCATTCAGGGGACATTTATAGGGCATGCTCTCTGTCTCTAGCATTTTGATAGAAGCGAAGAGAGCTGTAAGGGAGGTAGGAAGTCTTAATCCTAAAGGGTCTTTGCTTAATTGATCTAATTTATTATTCTGCTAACAAGTGTGAGGCCCTGGGTTCAAAACTCGGGCTGAACCAAGAGAAATCTTGGTTTGCGATACTTTATTTTTTTTAAATAAAAGCACCGCAAAAAAGAGAAAAAAATATGTAATGATAAAGCCTACTTAGGGCTGGAGATGTAGCTTGCCTCACATGCACAAGGCCCTGGATTTGATTTCCCATAAGGAAAGTAAAATAAAATTGCCGGCAGTGGTGGTGGAGTCTGTAATCCCATTGACACCAGAGGCTGAGGCAGTAGGATCCCAAGTTTAAGGCCAGCATCAGCAATTTAGCAAGGCCCTAAGCGACTTAGTAAGACCCTGTCTCAAATTAAAAAAAACAAACAAACAAAAAAAAATGAACTGGGATGTAGCTCAGTTGTAGAGTGCTCCTGGGTTCAATCCCCAATACCTACCCACCCCAACCCCACTCCTCACCCCTTCTAAAAAATTCTGTAGTTGCTTACCACACTTTGGCTAGGGGCTGCACTGCTACCTTGGGCAATTTCGCCAAGGCCACCTTTGATGCCATCTCCAAGACATACAACTATTTGACCTCCCATCTCTGGAAAGAGACTGTGTTCACCAAGTCTCTCTATCAGGAATTCAACTCACCATCTTGAGAAAACTTATACCAGAGTTTGTTCAGAGGACCCAGGCTCCAGCTGTGGCTACCACAGAGGGTTTTTATACAAAAATAAATAAATAAAGTGAACGAAACACGTTTAAAAAAAAAAATTCTGTATTCCCTACCCCTGCCCTTTAACTCCTGGATTAACAATTTAGTTAGAGGGTATAGGCATATTCATCCATAAAGGATTTTTAAAAACTGACTAAAGATGCTGAGCCTGATGACAGTGCACTCCTATAATCCCAGCTACTCAGGAAAATGAGTCAGTAGGATGGAAAGTTCAAGGCTAACCTTGGCAATTTAGTGAGACTCTGTCTCAAACAATAAAAGGCCTTGTGGGGCCTAGGTTTGTAGCTCAGTGGTGAAGCACTTGCCTAATGTGAATGTGAGACACAGGGTTCAATCCTTAGCACCATATAAAAATAAATAAGTAAAGGTATTGTGTCCCCCTACAACTAAAAAGAATATTAAAAAAAAAAAAGGCTCAGGGTGTGGTTCAGTGGTGGAGTGCTGGCCTTCTATGCACGAGGCCCTGAATTCCATCCCAGTACCTAAATAAATAAATAAATAAATTGTGAATATCAAGTGTTGATGATATCTAACAACTAAACTATTTACCTTTGGGATTGCAAATTGGTGTGACTGATACAATCAAATGTGCATCTACTGTGATGCAGCCAAACATCTCTTATATAAACCTCAGAAAGTCTCTCCTGCAGCCAGTACACTTACAAGAATATCCACAGCAACACTGTAATTAGCAAAAATCTGGAAACAGCTCTTATCACAAGCAGACTATAGTAAAAGCTTTTAGTAGATTCATACAGCAGAGACCTTTAAATATTTATTTTTTAGTTGTAGTTGGATGTGATACCTTTATTTTATTTACTTATTTTTGTGTGGTGCTGAGGACTGAACCCAGTGCCTCACACGTGCCAGGCAAGCGCTCTACCACTGACTGAGCTCCAGCCTCAGCTCCTCATACAATAGAAACTTTATAGCAATAAAAATGCTGAGTGAAAAAGCAAGTCTTGGAAAAATATAAAATAATTCTAATTAAATAAAGCTTGAAAACATTTTGTTTGTTTTGTGGCACTGGGGATTAAATTAGGGGTGCTTTACATCCATATCCCCCTTTATTTTTTATTTTTTTATTTTATTTTATTTTTTTTAAAGAGAGAGTGAGAGAGGAGAGAGAGAGAGAGAGAGAGAGAGAGAGAATTTTTAATATTTATTTTTTAGTTCTCGGCAGACACAACATCTTTGTTGGTATGTGGTGCTGAGGATCGAACCCGGGCCGCACGCATGCCAGGCGAGCGCGCTACCGCTGAGCCACATCTCCAGCCCCCTATTTTTTATTTTGAGACAGAGTTCCACTAAGTTGTCCAGGTTGGTCTTGAACTTGCACGCCTATAAAAACTATCAATCAATTTAAACATGAAAGAACCTTATTTGGGGTCCTAGAAATTGCAATTTGGGAGATACAGGTTCACATATCTCTGATGTTCAAAGGAGGCAGGAAGCTCTACTTTCCGTAGAGCTTATGATGGCTAAAGACTTTTAAGTCATTACAAGGTAATTGCTTTAGTTAGCTTGTTTTACTGCAATGAAATACCAAATACAATCAACTTATAAAGAGAAAAGTTTTGTTTGGGCTCATGATTATAGAAGTTCTAGTCCAAGATTGGGTGGGTCCTTTGCACTGCATTTTTAGTGAAGGTAGCTCATCATGGTAGAAGTGCATGGTGGAGCAGATAGATGGCTTACATCAGGAAACTGGAAGCAAAGAGAAAAAGATTGGAGTTCCACAATCCCCTTCAAAGGCCCACCCTCAGTGACTTAAGGACCTCCCACTGGGCCCCATCTCCTGAAGGTCCCATTGGGAGTTGGCACTCTCAATAGTACTGACATGGCAACTATGCCTTTAACACCTGGACCTTTGGGGGACATGCATCCAAACCATGGCAGTAATTAAAATTGTTTCAAGAGAAACTCTCACTGAAGTTGGAAAAGAATGTAAATGCTAGTTGACATGGACTACGTGACAACAGTAAGTAAAGAAATAAGGGATAAGCCAAATGGAAAAGTCCATAAAGCAATGAGTCCATCATGAATCTCTGGAAACACTGTAATTATCTGGTTGTGCCAGAGGCCTGCAAAGACTGGGGGTGACCAAGGTTCACATTCCAGGCAGCAGCTGGAGGCCAAAGTTCTGTTCCCTAATGGCCTCCTAACTTCATTTTGAAAAATTCTATCAATGTTGCTTCCATATGATGTTCCTTTAATTTTCATAAAACATACGTAATCAAGTTATAAACAAGAATAGGGGATTGCTAGGTGAGGTGGTACGTGCCTGGCTCAGGAGGCTGAGGCAGGATAGCAACTCAGACCCTATCTCAAAATAAAAAATAAAGGGCTGGGGTTGTGGTTCAGTGGTAGAGTGCTCACCTAATATGAGTGAGGCCCTGGGTTTGATGCTCAGCACCACATAAAGATAAACAAATAAAGGTATCATGTCCATCTACAACTAAAAAATATTTAAAAATAAATAAATAAAAAGGGCTGGGGATATGGTTCGGTGGTTAAGGACCCCTGGGTTCAATCCACACTACTAAAAAAAAAAGTAGGAGAGCATAAGTATAATATAATATTCAGGGAGTCATAACTTCTGCGAGAGAAGGGAAGAGATGGGATACAGAGGACACACAGGGGCACACCAAAAAGCAGGTACAAGGACTTTTTTTTTTTTTTGGCAGGGGGGTAGGTGCTAGTGATTTGAAACTCAGTGGGGCTCTACCACTGAGCTATATCCCAGCCTTTTCAATCTTTTAAAATTTTGAGACAGGGTCTCACTACATTGCTCAGGTTGTCCTGGAACTTGTGATCCACCTTCCTTCCCCACTGCCACACATAAATAGCTGGATTTATAGGCATGTGCCACTGTTCCAGGCCAAAATAAGAATAGTTGTTTTTTTTTTTTTAATGTCCATAGCTGTAGAGATTAGAAACAAGGGATAAGGCCACCATCCCAAAGCACTGAACTGTTGGACTTGTTTGCTCTTTTGGCAGAGCCAGGTAATGAGGCAAATGTTCTGGGCAGAAGGCAGGACAAGAGTTTGGGAGTCACATCAGCTCACTTCTCTCATTCTGGGACGTGGAGTGCCTGGGAAGAAGACAGGAGGGCAGTCATCTCTCAGGCTTTATTGCATTTGTAAAACTGGTCTGCAGATGCAGCATAAGATACAGAGCTCCATCCTGAAACACTCCCTGCACTGCGGACCGCCCTGACAGCCTCATGCCTGCCAGATAATATCTTTAATATCCAGGAGGAAATTAAAGATATCTTATCTTAGTTTATCTAACACAGCCACCTCCCCAGTAAAGACAGGAGAAATTGTTCTTTTGTAATTGAGCTTTTTCTCATCTGAGAAAGTATCACCACAGCAACAGGTGCTTTCCTTTCTTTCTCCAGTCAGCTTTTATGGACGGCTTCTGCATTACAACTGTGCAAGGCACAAGAAACGTTGAGGTGAATGACACTTGCCCTGGGAGAGTGAGCAGTCTATTGGGTTAGACAGATTAGAAAGCAAATAATCAGTGTTGTGAGGGTAACAGAGTCTCCAGAGCAAAGAAAAATGAAGAGATTAATTCTACCCTGGTGGGAGGTCTGGGAAAGTTTCCCAGAGGAAATGAGTTTTTGTAACCTTAAAAATAAAGTTAATATCTTTTTTTTATTATAGAAGCAATGCAGGCTTATTACACAAAAATGAGAAAAAAAAACTGAAAAGGGATATTACATAGTTAATGAAAAGATACTGAAATTAATCTTTAAAATTTAATAGAAAGTATTGATGAAGTTTTATTCTTTAAACCTCATGGTATTATTCATTACAATGTTCATACACATTAAACATTTTTGTACTTATACATTAAATATTTTTTTTTAAAGAGTGAATTTTTTTTTAATATTTATTTATCAGTTATTGGCGGACACAACATCTTTGTTGGTATGTGGTGCTGAGGATCGAACCCGGGCCGCACGCATGCCAGGGAGCGCGCTACCGCTTGAGCCACATCCCCAGCCCCTATACATTAAATATTAAGTGTATTCCTTCTGTTTGTTTTGTGGGGCTGGATATTGTGTAATTCAGGACCTCAAGCATGCTAGGCAAGTGTCATACCAGTTATATCCTCAACCCCTATTTTTTTTTTTTAAAGAGAGAGTGAGAGAGAGAGGGGGACAGAGAGAGAGAGAGAATTTTAATATTTATTTATTTTTCTTATTTCTCGGCGGACACAACATCTTCGTTTGTACGTGGTGCTGAGGATGGAACCCGGGCCGCACGCATGCTAGGTGAGCGCGCTACCTCTTGAGCCACATCCCCAGCCCCCTACTTTTTTTTTTAAATTTTATTTTGTGACAGGGTCTCACTAAGTTGCCCAGGCTGATCTTGGATTTGTGATCCTCCTGCCTCAGCCTCCCAAGTAGTTGGAATTTATAGGAGTTTGCCACCACACCCAGCTAAATATATTATTGTACATGTAAAGTATTTCATCATTAAAAGTTAAATATAGGGTTTAATCAAAGATCTTGGGAGGACTGGCCTAGATATTTGCAGTCAATATACCCTCCAAAATTTTTAATGTGTATAAAATTTTAAAATATTGACACATAGTAATTGTACATATTTATGGGGTACAATGTGATGACAAACTAAACTTTGTTAAGAAATTATTTATTATTATTATTATTATTTTTTGTACAGGGGATTGAACTCAGAGGTGCTTAACCACTGAACTACATTCCCAGCCCTTTTCATTTTTATTTTAAACAAGGTCTAACTAAGTTGCTGAGAGTTTCACTAAATTGCTGAGGCTGGCTTTGAACTGGGATCCTCCTGCCTCAGCCACTAGAGCAGCTGGGATTACAGGAGTGCTCCATCACCACTGGCAAGAAATTCTTGATAACAATAAAACTGAAATCACAGTCCATAAAATCCTTTTTAGTTTCTAAAATTACAAGAAGTTGCAAGAGTAAACATCACAAGAGTAAAATGAACTTATAAAAGAATCCAGGGATGAAAAACTTACCAATATAGAAAAAACAACAAAACTTGAAATGGCATGTGAACAAATTCATAGGTCAACTCAAATTTCAGCCTCACCCAGATGTTTAAAAACAATAATGTTTTGGGCTGGGTTTGTGGCTCAATGGTAGAGTGCTCCCCTAGCATGGTGAGGCCCTGGCAGGGTTCGATCCTCAGCACCACATAAAAATAAATAAATTAACTAAAGATATTGTATCCAACTACAACTAAAAATAAATATTAAAAAAGTAATAAGCATTAAAAACCCCCAATGTTTTAGAACAATAATCAGCTGGGTGCTGGGGAGACTGAGGCAGAAGGATAAATTCAAGGCCAGGCTCAGCAACTTAGAATTTGTCTCAAAAATAAAAAATAAAAAGGTCTGAGGATGTGGCTTTTAGGGTAAAGTGCCTCTGGGTTCAATCCCCAGTAACAAAAACCAAACAACAACAACAACAACAACAACAACCCATTAGATTCTATCATCAGATAAAAGATTCTATCCATTCTGGAAGTGGAAAAAGTTTATAATCCTGTCTCCGTTAATGTAAGAACGACTGTTTTTTGTTTGCTTGTTTTGGTATCAGGGATTGAACTCAGGGGCTCTCGACCATTGAGCCACATAAGCAGTCGTATTTTGTATTTTATTTTGAGACAGAGTCTCATTGAGTTGCTTAGCAACTCATCATTGCTGAGGCTGGCTTTGAACTTGCGATCCTCCAGCCTCAGCCTCCAAGCAGCTGGGATTCCAGGCGTGCGCTACCGCGTCAGGCAAGAACGACTTTTTAGCGTTGTATATGCAGCTATAATTTGAATTTTGTTTCTTTGTTTGGTCGGTGAGGGTGGAATGCTGGGGCTTTAACCCCAAGCTTTGTGCATGCTAAGCGCAACACCATTGAGCCAGTTCTATGATGTGAATTTAAGCATTAGCTGGCAGAAGCTGGCCCCAGGGACTGGGGGACTTCTCATGGATAACCAGCAGTCTACCTATTCTAATTTGATCTGCCAAAGGCGCTATTGTCTAGAGTTTAGTACACGGTCTGAGTAGGAAGCCCATAAACTGTTAAGCCTAAATGAAAGTAAGTCTGCGCTAAGACACAGTAAAGAAAAGCTGGGGAGTGGCGTTTTCTAGGTAGAGAGGTCGTCTTTTGCAGGTAGAAGCGAAGGTAGAAAGCGTGGCAAATACCGGGAGCAGCAGATAAACTGATGTGATTTGTGGGAAATGAAATCCTAGATGGCCAGAAGGTGGGGTTCTGGAAAGAGATCTGGTCTAAAATCTCCCAGTTTTCTCTGGGGTCCCGGCCCCTTTCCCCGCCCCTCCCCGCTCTCTGACCCCGCCCCTCTGACCGCCACTGGACCTTCGGAGGCGGGTAGGGTCATCGCTGTGCGCCTGTCTGCGGTGAGCTGAGCTGACGGCGCAGTTTAATGACGTCACGATCATTGACAGCGTGAGGCCGCGGCGGCTGCTGCTGCCATGGTGGCTGGAGGCTGGGTAAGGGTCTGAGTTATTTCCTGCCGGGCGCGAGTGGCTTAGGGGACTTGAGGAAGCCAGGGTAACGAGTTTGTCTGCAGTGTGGTGGGCCGAGGTGGGGGTCAAAGACTCAGAAGCCAGACTCTGATCAGGGTCAGGGAGCGTGTTGGAAGGAAGGCTACGGCCAGGCTGGGAGAAGGGCGCGATAGCCAGGGCCAGGGAGCTGGCGGAACCTTAGGGTCGGGATTGTTGTGAGGGTAGTCAGCAGCCTAGAGTTCGGGATATCTGTCGGATTCGGCTTTGCGGGTGGGTGGACCAGGCTCACGAATCTCTTCCTCTCCGCCCGCTCGCTCCCGTGTTTTACGCGGGTTGCAGGTGCAGCATGTCTAGACTGGGGGCCTTGGGTGGCGCCCGCGCGGGGCTGGCACTGTTGCTTGGCTCCGCCGCCGGCCTTGGATTCCTGTGCATCCTTTACAGGCAGCGATGGAAGCGGACCCAGAGCCATGGCGGGAGCCAGATCCTGCCCAACTCCCTGGACTGCGCTCAGACTTTAGAGCCTGGACGCCAGGGTAAGTAGCCTGAAACGGAGGTCAGCCTGTTGACTGATAGGCCTAGGTACGAGCTGCCTTTGGCAGAACTTGTGGGACAGGCAGCGGAGGAGGTTGCCTGAGGGTTTAGTTTTTTTGGGAAAACTTGTTGAAAACAAAAGGTATCTCCTTTTCTGTACTCTTTCCTCTATAATTCCAGGAAAGTAAATTGTGAAAAGATCATTTAGTTTTCGCTTTTAGTTCTGGCTACAGTAATGCTGTATGTATCAAAGGCACTTTCTTAGTTTTGGGTGAGGTGTGTAATAAGAGTTCAAAACAAGGCAAAAGGAATAACTAATCTTGTAGAAATTAAAAGTCAGAGTTCATATAGTAAATTACATATTAGAACTTGAAGGGAACTTGGAGACTAATTCAAGCTTTTTAGTCTTCTTATGAAGAAATAAAGATTCAGAGAGATTGTGTAACTCCCCAGAGGTTGTCAGAGTATAAGTGGAAAGGTTGGGCCTAGTCACCTGGTCCAGAGTACTTTCCACCTCACGATTGCAGCCTGGGCTGGGAGCATGCTCATGCAATTGAAACTGAATATGGCTGGAAGCCAGCAGCTGAAATTTGTAAAACTTTCACCTTCATTCCTTTGAGCAAAGGATATAGGGCTGGTTCAAACTACTCCCCCGATTTGTGTGAAGGAGGATCATTTAGATCCTCTCACCTTGTGTTAATTGGAAAAGAATGTTTTCTCTGGCATACAAAATCAGATGGTTTAGAAAGCTGTTTTGGAGGAGTGTTTCAAGAGTTATACCTTATCTGGGTGCAGTGGTGCATAGTGTAATCCCAACAGCTTGGGAGGCTGAGGCAGGAGTTTTTTGATTTCAAAGCCAGCCTCATCAATTTAGCAAGGCTTTGTCTCAAAATAAAACATAAAAAGGGCTGGGGGATGTGGCTGGTGGTTAAGCATCCCTGGGTTCAATCCCAAAAAACAAACAAAAAAAAAGTTACTACTTTAGATTGCAATTGATTGTTAGCATTTCATAACATAGTGGTAATGTGACATGCTGGGTGCATTTGTCTTTCCTTTGGTTTTCTTAATTTGTTTGTAGTTTCTTAGTAGTAGTCTGTCTTTATACTGAGGCTGGGAAAGTGACCACAATCTCAGAGGTATTTCTTGCTCTACATTCTTGAACCCTGTCGGGTATGTATTATAGTTTGGTTTACATTGTTACTAGATTTTCTTGAAGAAGGGATTTCAGCTTTTCTATTCTGTGGGTTCTGCCTTCCTCATTTCTTTCCTGTTTAGCCCAATTGACTTAAGTGGCTCTTCAATGGCTAGCATTTCACTGTTGGAATTCACCCAGAGCTCAAGTCAGGGTTGAGTAGTTGGGGCTTGGTAATGGTGTTTTTCTGATGGAGTTTGTATGGACTTTCTCCAGTGTAACTTTTCTTGGTAACTGACTTCCCCCTTTCTTTTTTTTCCTCTCTGACAATACTAAATGAAGAGAAGTGTACTTTACTATTCTTTGTGAAATGAGAGATCAGAATTTGGGTGAGCCCAATGTTAATTTTGCTGTTAGTTGGTATTGATTGCCTGGTATTTGGCACTATAAGGTCAGTTAAAGACCTTTCTTTTACTCTAATAGGGCAGCTGTCATGCCTCCTAGGTCTTGCATCCTTGTAAGCATTTCACATTATCTGCTGTGCACGGCTTTGCTGAAGGGCCCTGGTGTCAAAGGTTCCTGGAGTACAGGGCATTTTTTTTGTAGAGACTAGGAACTTAGTTTCTTTCTGAATAGTTACTTGGGACTTGTTATTAACACTTAGCTGTGATTGTAAGCTATCTGAGCCTCAAGATTGTCTCCACATCCCATGTGTGTCTGTCTCCTTGTTACCCTCTTCCTTCAGCGATGCTGTTGCGAGCTGTCCCAGGTGAAGCTGGAGATGCTGCGGTGTTACCCAGCCTTCCACAGGAAGGGCAGGAGAAGGTGCTGGACCGCCTGGACTTTGTGCTGACCAGTCTTGTGGCACTACGGCGGGAGGTGGAGGAGTTGAGGAGCAGCCTTCAAGGGCTTGCTGGGGAGATTGTTGGGGAGGTCCGGTGAGTAATACAGCCTCCTCTCTTGCTTTGTTTCTCTTACCCTTCAATTTTTCCTTGCCCCTAAAATTTTTCAGCTGTAGCATTCTGGCCGTTGCTAGCCATCTTTAAGAAGGAGCCAGTTCTATAGTTTCTAACCTAATTTAGTGGGGAAGCTGTGCATTGGGTTTCTTACCTTGCACAAGCTCGTTGCTTCTGGCTCCTCATGATCCATTGTAGCAGCTGACATTCTTCATTCTGTCCAACCTAGTCTGCCATGTAGGGTGCTGCCTTTCTTGCTCTTAGGGTGGAAACCCAGGATTTTCTCTGCTTTTGGCCATTTAGTGAGGAGGAGTGAGGGAAAAAAGGCTGTATCTAATGGTCCCTCTGAAATGGACCCTGCCTTGCAGATCCCACATGGAGGAGAATCAGAGAGCGGTTCGGCGACGGAGGTTCCCATTTGCCCGGGAGCGGAGTGACTCTACTGGTTCCAGCTCTATCTACTTCACAGCCTCCTCTGGAGCTGCATTCACAGATGCTGAGAGTGAAGGAGGGTGAGTCTCTCCTGGAGGCAATTGTGGCTGCAACCAGGTGGTTTTGTAAAAGTATTATTTGTCAAAGTAAAATTCAAACCAAGCCACCAAAGGGATGGGTGGCTTTCTTAATTATAGCTCCAGCAGGTTGAGCCCCATGACCAGTCCTGTGGCACATGAAAGCCATTAATGGTGCAAGACTCTGGCTTAGCAAGCTGCTATCTGGGGCAGCGGCCATGTGAATAATTCTTTTTTGTCATGGAAGGTGCCATATAGGTCAAGGAGGAATAGTCTGAGAAGAGTCCACAAACTCTGACATGGCTTTTGGCATGTGGGCCTTGGGAAGGAGAGAACTTCTTTGAGGGGTGAAAGAATGAGATCTGATGGGCTACTGTGTTACAATGAAAGTGGTGTTCTTTCTTCCAAATATATAACAACTTTGAGCTTCCAGGAGACAGACTGATTGGCAGAGGCATAATCCCTGTGCAGTTTTGTGAGCTTGTTTCCATGGCATTGTACTACAGTTTGAGTTCCTTAAAACATCAGCTCCTATAGCCAGGCTTTCCAGGTATTCCAGCCAAGTAGGTTGCCGGCAGCCTCACCTTCACCTTCACTCCTCCTTGGGCATTTATAACATCATTTATTTGGGTCTTGTCTTCTCTCCCTCTCACGGTCAGGGGTCATGCCTAGTCATCTCTGAATGCCCAGGCTCAGCCCCTCTAGTGGGGTTTAGAAATTGAAGGAGGGTACATGTGTAACTCAGTACTCTATTTCTGACTAGTGGGCTCTCCTTAAGGAATAGAGGGTAGCTTGGTCTCCTGTCCACTGTGGAACAACATGTCCAAAGGGCCTTTTCAAAGGTCCTGCTTGTGTCTAGCAACTCAAGCCTGAAGGTATATTAAAGAAAAGGACCACCCATAAGGGCTAGATTGGTAGTGCAGCAGGTGTAACGTGAGGGAATGGTACAAATGTAGTGTCCCTGCATGTGATAAATCTCAGGCCCTGGAAACCTGTGGGCTGATTCCAGGCAGTGGGGCTTCAGCTTGGTAAGGCTGAACTCCTTGAAGTGGGGTAAGGCACAAAGTCCTCCCCATGCCAACCTCCTCAGATCCTCCCTGCCTCACAGGACTGTACCAGCTGTCACTCTTGTGGTGGCAAGCCCCTGCTGACCTATGCTTCTCCTTGGCTGTGTGAGCTCTGCCTTTAGGCCTCAAGGGTATAGCAGTACTGCAGGCTCTTCCTTCTGGTTAGCTTTAGCAGGGTGAGAACAGTGTTCCCTCCCTGGGTGTGCTGGAGGATGAGACTCCTGTTTTGAATTAAAGTGTCTGAGGCAGTCCTTAGTCTAGCCCAGAATATGGTCTTCCCCTCTCTAGATATAAGCTCTCACTCCAAATAAACCACTTGCTCATTTGCCTTTGAATCTAGCTAGGCAGAGTAGACTCTGGTTTGATTTTCTCTTCCAAGTCAAGTTATTGTCCAAGCATTAGAGCTTAGCTGGGAGTTTCTCTTGGTTGCCCCTCTCTGGTCTTTCGGCACTACCCAGGTTAGTTGTGAAATTGGGTATCATTTTTCCTTGTCCCTTTAATTTCTAAAGGTTTTACTGCAAATTGCTAGCAAAAGATACTTGGATAATCTCTTGAAAAGAAAGGTGAGGTTAGGGAGATTTAAAATTCAAGTTCTTATAGTGGATGTTTTTGGGGCCCTTTCCCCCCCACCCCCAGATAGACTTCTCTATAAAGAGGAAATTTGCATGCTTAGACTAGCACACCAGTCTGTTTGTTCACTTGGTACCTTCTGGAGCCTGCCTGTACTCTTGTAGTCTCTGACTTTCTAGATGAGGAAGACTACTTTTGTGTTCAACATTTAACCCGACTTTAGGCTATTTTGTATTTACTTTGTCTCCCTCATCTCTCCTCCTTTAGTTTTGCACCAACCATAGAGAGACTATCCTTACCTTTTACTCCAGGAAGTAGGAAGGTTTACCTGCAAAGGACACTGTGTTTCAGTATAGAATCTGTTTTCCCGTCACTCAGACTCAAGGGCTCTCTTGTATCTTCTTCTGGCCCCTGGAAGTCCTACCTTCTCCCCTGTCTAGTTCATGTATGATTTAATTGGCAGTTAGGGAAAACAGCCTAATCAGCTGCTGATGGAGACAGATCCAAGAGAAACTTAGCTGCTTCTTCAGTGGATAGATCAGGGTTGGAGCTCCCTAGGGTGTAGTTTGCATTTTCTCTCCTTTCAAATGCAAAGTGGCCTCTACCACTCAGCTACTCCCTCAAGTTCCCAAGGGCTTCTCCTGTTATTACAGGTTTGGTTGTTGACTTGGGTCTGTGGTACAGGTTTAATTAACAAAGAATATGGGCCAGGTGTGGTGGTCCAGGCCTGTAATACCAGCTATTCAGAAGGCTACAATAGAAGGATGGCAAGTTCAAGGCCAGCCTGGGCAACTTAGCGAGACTACCATCTCAAAAAAAAAAAAAAAAAAAAAAAAAAAAAAAAAGGGGGGGGGGGGGGGGGGGGGCCTGGGTATGTAGCTCAGTGGTAGAGCACCACTGGGTTCAATCCCCAGTATAGGGTGGGAGGGGGAAAAACAAGGATGTGCGACTGCCTGTTGCTTCAGAAGCTGGCACCCACCCATGTTGGTTCTGGCAGGTGCTTTTGACTGATAAAACAAAGATGATTAGCAAATCCTTAGACTGTGATCATTCCACCTTAGGAGATCAGCTCCATGTATATCTTTAAGGTGTGAGTGTGTAGGTATGTGCATGCAATGTATTTCCCACCTCCCCCCATCCAGTGCTGGGACCAAACCCAGGGCCTCACAAGGTATGGTAGGCAAGTGCTTACCACTGAGCCACACTCCAGTCTGCTGCTTATTTTATTTATTTTAAATTTTTTTTTTAGTTGTACATGGACACAATACCTTTGTTTTATTTATTTATTTTTATGTGGTGCTGAGGTTCGAACCCAAGGCCTCGTATGTGCTAGGTCAGCGCTCTCTACTGCTGAGCACAACCCCAGCCCCTGCTGCTTATTTTAAAACACTATTTTATTTTTTTAAAAAGCCAGCCATTCCAGAGGCTGAGGCAGGAGGACTGAAAGTTTGAGGCCAGCCTTGGCATTTTAGCAAGACCCCACCTGGAAATAAAAAGGGCTATAGCTGTAGCTGAGTTGTAGAGAACTCCTGGGTTCAATCCCTAGTACTGCACATATGCACAAACAAACATGAACACACGTGTGTGTGTGTTTTTACTGAAGCACTTTAAAAGAAGAAAAATGACTTTTTGTTTCTTTGTACTAAGAGATTTACTGGCAAGCACTTTTTATATACTTTTCTGAGCTTTTTCCCTTTTTGTTTTCTGGCAGATTTGGTGGTCTTCAAAAAGCATTCTGATATTGGCCCTGACCAGCACAGGGCCTCCACTTCAATACTCTAACCCTCCCTGATAATTTTCCTAGTCCACAGTTCCTATAGGAAGCTTTTTCTTGAAGACTAATTCTACCATTAAGGGATGGACATGATTCTTATTTGGTACACTGTACAACAATGCTAGAGCCTCTTTATGGCTGAAGGATTAGACCCTAGGGATTTGAATGGAATAATCAGATGAGTTGACCCTGTTATTTATATTTCTCTGCCAGTTATACAACAGCCAATGCCGAGTCTGACTATGAGAGAGACTCTGACAAGGAGAGTGAGGATGAAGGGGAAGATGAAGTGAGCTGTGAAACTGTAAAGATGGGAAGAAAGGATTCTCTGGAACTGGAGGTGGAAGCAGCTTCAGGTCCAGTAGCTGGTGTCTTAGAGGCTGAAGTCTCTCTGGGTCATGAGGATGTTCTGCCCCTCCTGCAGCAGGCTGACGAGCTACACCAGGGCAGCGAGCAGAATAAGCGTGAGGGCTTCCAGCTGCTGCTCAACAACAAGCTCGTGGTGAGGCTCCAACTGCTTGTCTGCGTCCCCTCTTCTCCCCCCCTTATCTCTTGACCCATAGGGAATGAAGAAAGGCCCATATGGTGACTGACCCTGCAAGATAACATGGGAAGGAACATGGGAATGAGATGGCTAGTTCTGCCTGTGCTTCCCAGGTTGCACATCATTTTCCAAGAAGGCCCAGCCGGGGTACTATCTGCCCCAGAGCTTTCTTCCTGCTGAGGAAGAGAAGTATAGTTCTCTGCCTCCTGTGGATTCAAAATAAGCTCTTTCTCTCTCTGTAGGGGAAAATGGGGAAAGGACTGGAATGGGTACCCCTCCTCTTATTTTCCTTGAGGTAGAACTCAATCTGTCTGCTCTAACTTGAAGTTTCTATCACAAGTAACAAGTGTGTAGAGCACTCAAGCGCTCTTTTCTTGGGCAACTTCACACTTTTTTTCGTGTCAGCAAGACTCCTCTTGCTGTGTCCCTCTGTATCTTCTTGGATTTGACCTTTCCCCTAGCAGTATAAGGCCAGGGTGCCCTTCCCTGTGATTATGCAAGGTATCAGCTAGAGATGCGTCATCAGTTCTGAACCTGGGAGGTCTATGGAGTGGGAAGACTGCATAGCAGTTGGCCTCATGTTAGTGACTGTAACACACTGTCTTTGAAAATTAAACTGAGGATGTGGTGTCGCATTCCTGTTTGTTTTACAGTATGGAAGCCGACAGGACTTTCTTTGGCGCCTGGCCCGGGCCTACAGTGACATGTGTGAGCTCACTGAGGAGGTGAATGAGAAGAAGTCATATGCCCTAAATGGTAGGTGCTGAGAGGTTCCTAGTGGGAAAGTGACTGATTGTGAGGGTACAGGTGGTTCATCTACCTGGGACTCAGGGGAACCACCAGGATGTTGGCTATGAGTTGTGGCTTACTCACTAGGGGACAAACTCGAGTTTTCAGGGACTCTTGTTTTTTGACATACAGCAGTTTACCTCTTTTCATGTCATAGTAATTGACACAGGAGCACATGATTTTAAGGGTAGTTGTATTATGTTAGCATTAGTCTTTGTTCTTACTCCTCAAGCATAAGAGAAGCAAAGCCTTTACCTTTTTTTATGATACTGGGGATTGAACCCAGGGATGCCTACTACTGAGTTACATCCCTAGCCCTTTTCAGTTTTTGAGACAAGGTCTTGCTAAGTCTTGAGCTTGTAGTCCTCCTGCCTCACCCCCCACCCCTTTTAAATATTCTTTTAGTTGTTGATGGACCTTTATTTTATTTATTTACTTATGTGGTGCTAAGAATTGAACCCAGTACCCCACACACACTAGGCAAGTGCTCTACCACTGAGCTACAACCCCAGCCCCTGCTTCAGCCTCTTGAGTTGCTGGGATTATATATGTGTGCCACCATGCCTGGCAAAGCCTCCTTTCTTAACTGGAAAGGAGGTAGAACTCAAGGTTTCTGGTTGCTGTTTAGGAATCTGGTTTTATACTGTCTATGTGGCAGGTGTTCTGAGAATGTGAGTATATATGGTGAACACTTAAGAAGCAGTTTGGGAGTTTACTGCTAGTGTAGAAATCTCTGATATCCACTTAGCAAATCTGTTGTCTAAGTACTGTGGAGGATAGGTGTGCCAGACTCAGGGCTTGTCCTTGTTTGTCATGAGGGTGGACTCTTTAAACAAGACTGATGTGAGCTAGGTATGATGGTGCATGCCAGTAACCCCAGCTACTTGGGAGGCTGAGGCAGGAGGATCACAAATTTAAGGTCAGTTCAATCAATCAACTTAAGGAGACCCTGTCTCAAAACAGTGCTGAGGAGGGCAGGCATGGTGGCACATGCCTGTGATCCCAGCAACTTGGGAGGCTAAGGCAGGAGAGGACGACTGCAAGTTCAAAGCCAGCCTCAGAAACTTAGTGAAGCTCTAAGCAATTTAGCAAAGACCCTGTCTCTAAATAATATATTAAAAAACAGGCTGAGGATGTAGCTCCATGGTAGAGTGCTCCTGGGTTCAATCCCCAATACTGCGCAAAAAAAAAAAAGGTGAGACTATCCCTAACCCTACCTTGCCACACACCCTATGTCAGGCACCTAAATGGGCTTCCAGGTATATGATCCAGTTCATTATCTAAGGTGACTGACTAATATGGATTTATCATTTTTCCCACTTAAGACAACCCTACAAATGTTACTAAATCTTTTTTCTTTTAATATTTATTTTTTTGTTGTAGTTTGAGACAATACCTGTATTTTATTTATTTTTATGTGGTGCTGAGGATTGAACCCAGGGCCTTGCACGTGCTAGACAAGTATTCTCCCACTGAACCATAACCCAAGCCCAAATGTTACTGAACCTTTGAAAATGTGAATCTGACAATACTTCAAGGTCAGCATTCTAAATATAATTAGAATTCTATTGATGGAGAAACTTAGAGTTGATACAGACTCTCAAAGGTCCCTGGAAGTTAAGAGAAGGTGCTTTTACTGTTTTTTTTTTTTTTTCTTCAAAAGCATCTGCTGCCCCTCCTAAATTTCAGTTGAGGATTCTGATCAGCTTTTGGGCTGATTTTTTTTTTTTGATGTCTTGGTATCAACAACTTTTTCTTTTCCTCTGATAATTTCTCACCCAACCTATCCCCAAATGGGACTTTTTACTTGTTACTATGAAAAGTCTGAATTTTAGAAAGATTCTGGGAGTGGTGGTTCATATCCATCAGCTCAATCATCTTTAGCACCTGTCTCACCCTCCATACCTTTTCCAGAGCTGCTGCCTTCTCTATGAAGTCCTATGAGTTTTTCAACTGAAACTTTAATTTCTTTAGCTTTTTTTAAACTAACAAATGATATCATGAAAAGGAGATTGGAAAACATTGCTTCTTTCCAATGCTGTATAGAATCAATTTATTGACTTCATCTTTCAAGTCATTTGTACTTCGAAAGTTATGATTTCCATCTAGATTTGGTAGACCTACTTACTGATGCTGAGCATAAGAGGTGTTTGAAATCTGATAATCACATTTTTAAGTAAAACCAACATAGAATAAACAAGGAAATAACTTTTTTTTTTTTTTTAAGGTACTAGGGATTGAACCTAGGTACTTGTGGATGCTAGGCAAGCACTCTATCACTAAGCACATACCTAGCTCTACTGTTGGTATTCTTACATCATCATGAGCTTCAATAAGGGTCTGCCATTTGTGGCCATGAAACATTCTGTCATGGGATCCGTGCCCTAGAAGTTAGGAAGTGTATGTCTGAATATTCTCAGAAATTAGTTTGAATTTTCTATGCAATCTTACCATTTTGCAGATCAACAAGGCTAACTTTAAACATACAACCCTTGAGGTTATTAGATGCAATTTTGTTTCCTTAATAACCATTTTTTGGGGGATGGATACTGGGAATTGAATACAGGGGTGCTCTACCATGGAGCTATATCCCTAGTCCTTTTTATTTACCTTGAGACAGGGCCTCACTAAGTTGCCAATGCTAGCCTTGAACATGCAATCCTCCTGAGTAGCCATTATTTCTTATATTGAACATAGCAGGTATTTTCATATCATACCTATTTTTCTTAGAAAATGGACCAACCACTTTCTTTTCCCTTTTTGCTCCATTTTGTAAGATTCCTATTCTTGTGAACTGCCATTGTGTTTCTTAGAAAGCCGAAGGGCAAACTGTTTCTTATTAGTGCTAACAGCCAGCATGAATCATGAAGACAGGGGGTGAGCAGTGGTCACAATAGTATCCACAGCCAGCACTTGTTTAGTTTGGTTTTTGTGTTTAGCACTCCTGGACAAGTCTATTTCTACTGCAGGTTAGATGACTATGGAATGTCTTTGAAGGTCTTGCTCTGGAACTGTAGTCTTTTAGAATTATCCTTATTGGGTCAAGCCCATTTTGTCCCATTGTCGCAGATGTGGAAGACCTATAAAAACTTAAAATACAGTATATAATGTATAGCTAAACTAAAATAAAATTGTAACAATGTAATTTACAAACTCTAGATTATGACTTCCAGCTTTTACTTATTTATTTATTTTGGTACCAGGAATTGAACTAAGGGGCACTGGACCACTGAGCCACATCCACAGCACTTGTATTTTATTTAGAGACAGGGTCTCACTGAGTTGCTTACTGCCTTGCTTTTGCTAGCTTTGAACTTGTGATCCTTCTGCCTCAGCCTCCCCAGCTGCTGGGATCACAGGCATGCACCACTGCACTCAGCTTCCAACTTCTTTTAATGTACCTGTGTTGATGTCACTGAAATACTGGCAAAATTGAAAACTTGGGATTTACTGGGTCCCAAGTTATTCTATCTCTAGATGCTAAGAACATAAGAAGGAAGGCATTCTGTGGCTCTTTGGCTATGATTTGTCCATCCCACTATCCAGCTTGGTAAGAATTGGCTGTCACATATTCACTATTATTTTCCTAGTGACACAGTGCTTTGAAGGAGATAGAAACCCTAAAAGGTAATGTCCCTCACTGGTGGGGTCACATTGCCTTTATGTTTGGAAAAGGAGAGTTAAGAGACTTTTATAGCATCAGTTGCCTTAAAAATTACTAAAATAATTACTAAAATATGAGCAAACAGTACAGATTAGCCAACCGACAACCTCAATATATTACTTTTGTTCCATTTTGATTAAAGGAAAAATCCCTTTTTGCAATGTTTTTTTTCCAGTGTATGGTTGTAATGATCCTCATCTGGAGGTCTATGGACTCCATCTTCTTTAATACTTTAAGGGACCCTCATTAGAAGCTTTCATGTGTTGGACTTTGATGTCTTTGTTAGTCTGGTTCCTAGAAAACTTGGTAAAACTATGCAGAAGTTGCTTGACTCCTATAAGAGTTGTGGCTTTGGGCTGAGGGTATAGCTCATTGGTGGAGTATTTCCCTAGCATAACAGAAAGTCTTGGGTTCAATCCCCAGCACTAGGGCAGGTGGTGGATCCTTTTGAGGATTTTATCAAATTGTATACATTTGCCACTGATGACAGATATAGGTCACCTCTCCAAGGTGAAGAGGAATCATCCTTGAGAACCCATATACAGCTTTTTCACAAACTATTTCCATGTAAGTCCCAATTGTATAAGTATTAGTGAGAACTAAAGTACTCATTTTTCCCACAGCGCTTCCTGGGGAAGTGTACAAGGGAGCCCATGTCAATTCTAGATTTACCTTTATCTTTCAGGAAAGGAAGAAGCAAAGGCTGCTCTGGAGAAGGGGAATGAGAGTGCTGAATGTCACCAGTGGTAATAACACCCTGCAGGGTTCTGACAAGAGCCAGCAAGAGCCAGAACAGAGACCTTTCTTTTCTCTGTCCTGGCCAGAGGATCCAGGATGGGGAGCTCTACTCTGCATTTCAACATGCTAACCCTATCCCAGCCAGGGACCATAGATTTTCTTTGGGAGATGCTCTGGGGCTGAGGCAAGTTGGGAGAGCAAGCTTTTTTTCCTGCTGTGGCTAGAAGAAATGGGTATCTTTGTAAGAGTGACCCTAGCCATAAAAACTTGTGGGTTCTTGGCTCCTCAGGGAGACTGGAGCAATTTGCTGCTCCCTTGTCCTACATAAACTCTTCTTTCCTCTAGCTGTGATCCCTGGCTGGTGGTGGACCTTGGCTTCTTTGCATGAGAAAAACTAAGCAAAGCCAAACAAGCTGAGAGGTCAATTATTAGCTTCCTGGGCTGGAGATGTCACTTAGTGGTAGAGTGCTTACCTAGCATGAGGCCCCAAGTTTGATCCCCAGCACCACAAAACAAAAAGCCCAAAACATATCAGCCCTTTTTGTGAGCAAAACTCTGCCAACTTATTAGTCAAACCTACCCATGTCCAAAGTCCTGATTTTAGCATCTGAGTTTTAGTGAAAATGTTTTTTCCCTCTCTCACTATCCCATTGCTTTCTAAGCCTCTGCCCTCAGATTGTGAGCTGAGAGGCTGTGCTTCTCTGTTGCTGAAACCTCCTCTGCAAGGGTTCTTGGAGGCCAGGTAACTCTCCAGGGTGTCATTGCTTTCCTGGTCTAGGATCCCAAGGATGAAAACTGGCTCTGAGGAACAGCTGTTTTGATTAACTATGGATATGAACCTCTGGAAGTGTCTGATACAGATAACCCCAGGTATTTAGTAAATAAAGCAACTAAGGCCTGGTTAGGCACTCAATGCATGTCAATTTTGCTTCTAGAAACAATGCTGGGGTGGATAACGTAGAACCCCCGCCCCCCCCCGCCCCGCTAAGTACTAGGGATTGAACTGAGGGCTGCTCTACCACTGAGCTACAAGTCTAATCTTTTTGAGAGAGAGTGTGAGATTGCTGAGGTTGCCCTTCAGCTTTTGGTCTTCCTGCTTCAGCCTCCTGAGTAGCTGGGATAACTGGTGTGCACCATGTATCAGGCTTGGCCTTGTTTTTTTTTTAATATTTACTTTTTAGGTGTAGTTGGAGACTCAATACCTTTATTTATTTATTTATAATGTGGTGCTGAGTATCGAACCCAGGGCCTCGCATGTGTCAGGTGAGCGCTCTACTGGTGAGCCACAACCCCAGCCCCTTGGCCTTGTTTTTGTTGTCTTGATTTTTCTTACAGCACTGGGCATCAAATCTAGGGCACTGAGCATGCTAGGCAAGTGCTATACCACTGAGCTATATCTCCAAACCCCATAAAATGTTTATTTGGCAGACAGCAAAAGCTGCTGTCTTTTTGTTCCCTTGGAGGAGAGGATGTAAGGAGCTTCTGTTGGTTCCCAAGTTAATGAGAGATTCCTATAGTATCCCATCCCAATTTGGCCATGCTGAGAGCATAGTTTCCCAAATTCTGATGATATATCTCTGTACTCCGAAGGCCAAGACCTACCTTTAGTGTTTGCTTAGGAGACAATTAACAAGCTACTTAAGTCATTTAGTTTTCTGCTGACTTATGTGTACTCCCACTTCTCTACTTTTTTGTTTGCAGTGCTGGGGATGGAACTTAGGGCCTTGCACATGCTAGACAAATGTTCTACTACACCCCTAGTCTTCTGGTTTTTCAAGTTTTTATGATTAGCTATGTTTGTACTATATGAGGAGATTTTAGAGATGTGTATCGAGACCTTGCCTGAATATGTATATTTACTTTTGGTACTGGGGATTGAACACAGTGGTGCTCTACCACTGAGCTACATAAAAAAATCTTATTATTTTTTATGTGGTGCTGAGGATCGAACCCAGTGCCTCACACATGCGAGGCAAGTGCTCTACCATGAACTACAGCCCCAGCCCATCCCCAACCCTTTGAGACAGGGTCTTGCTAAGTTGCTGAGGCTGCACTTGAACTTGTAATCCTCCTGCCTCAGCTTGAGTTGCTAGGATTACATGCATGTGACACCACTTCCAGCTCCCCTAAATATTCCTAAATGTGAAGAGATTTAATGTGATGGGCCAAGCTTTTTAATGCCTATAACACTCTGGAGAACTGTAAGCCTACCACTGTGTATTAAATACTAACTGGAATTGCAGGTCTTGGAGAGGGAATTAATAAAATGAAAATCATACTTTTAGCTCTATTTGAACATGGAGGGATAGAGGATAACACAACTAGGCTATGGGTGGGGCACTGATCCTTGCAGTGATAGTACCTAGTCCTTGTGTCCTTGAGCTTGCTGCTGCTTCCCCCCCTTAGGTATGCAGTGCTTTGTGGTCAGTTGGCTGAGCATGAGGGCATCCAGAGGCGCATCCAGAGTGGCTTTAGTTTCAAGGTGAGGATAAGCTTCTTCCCTTAGGCTGGTCTATTCTAGATTGCCTATTCATACCCAGCTCCCTTAGAGGGCTTTCTTACAACCTCAGTGCCTTGCTGCTCTTCTCTTTGATCTGATGTTTTATATTTGTATTTTCCCTTCAGGAGCATGTGGACAAAGCCATTGCTCTCCAGCCAGAAAACCCCATGGCTCACTTTCTTCTTGGCAGGTGGTGCTACCAGGTAAGCTATATGTCAGGGCTGACATAATGGTCCTAAACATGCTGACACTGATCTCTACCAGGGTTAGTCCTCAGCTTCATCATCTTGGTCTAGTGGGTCCCATTTCCTCAATGCTCATGTTATTGATGGGTGTTTGGTTTTAGATCAGATTATTCACTACTCTTAAAGGTTTTTCTTAAACCTTTTATTTACATCTTGATCTTTTGATGGCAGGTCTCTCACTTAAGCTGGCTAGAAAAAAAAACTGCTACAGCCTTATTTGAAAGCCCTCTCAGTGCAACTGTGCAGGATGCCCTACAAAGCTTCTTGAAGGTATGAGGGGAGATAGATAGGTAGCAGCCCCAGAGCCAGGGTAACCTTATTTTTCCTAAAGACATTACTGAGACCCTTAATGGGAAGGGTTTCTACAGGGGAAAGTTGCCTGCCTGTTGTATAGGAAAATGAGAATTACCTGGCTAGAACCACTGACTCAGTCTCTTGGTTGGGGCCTGGAAATGTCTACTTAATAAACTTTTGCCTGACTTGAATTTTAGAACTTCTTAATGAAATGCCTTCCCTCTCTAGGTTGAAGAACTACAGCCAGGATTTTCCAAAGCGGGAAGGGTGTATATTTCCAAGGTAAACTCACTCACTTCAACCTAGATGAAAAAACATTTATGTAGATGGTATTCCTGGTGCTGGTGACCAAACCCAGGCACTCTACCACATTCCCAACCCTTCTGGGAACTCTTGAAAGCATAGATATTTTTGCTCTTCCTATCTCCTGGTGGTGTTTGTCAGGTTTTTATTGTTGTCTCTTCTCAGTGCTATAGAGAACTAGGAAAAAACACTGAAGCTAAAAGGTGGATGAAGCTGGCCTTGGAGTTGCCAGATGTTACTAATGAGGTAATACTTTTTAAAAAAGAGTTTTTAAAATATTGAATTCTACCACTGTGTCATCATGTGACCTTTTCAATAAAGAAAATCTTCCCTTGAGGTCTTATTTCCCTGGGATGAGAGTTTATCCTCTACATGGAATCTCTTCTGTGTTCTGTGTACATCTTACCTAGGGGAGGAGACAGATTTCATGGGCTCCAGGCTATCTGGGAAAGTAGGAGAAAGACTACAGCTAAGAGCTCAGGAGGGAAGCAAAGGACCCCTCAGGTACTGGTGGTTTGAGAAAAGGTTGGCGCAGATTTTGAGTACTAGATTTGTTCTGTTTGTTTCTCTAGGATTCAGCTTTCCAGAAGGATCTGCAAGAACTGGAAGTAATTTTAGGAGAATAACCACATTTCAATGGCCTTTGTGACTTCAGGAATACTATTTAAGAGGGGAAAAGAATCAAGGGTTTCTAAGATCAGAAAACCAAGCAAGACTGGTTTAGGCAGTGTTCTGTCCCCTGGGTCTGACTATTACCCACTACTGTTCCCCAACTTCTTGCCTGCTATCCATCAGTTAATTTATTCTCATGTTTTACCTAATCTAAAATTAGGGAAGAACTTGCACCTTGGGTTTCTGTTGTTTTTCCCCTTAAAGAAATTCTTGAAAAATGAAGACTTAAACTGGCATTTGCCCTAGGGTTAAGTGTGGGTGGATCCCTGAAGGCTGCTAGAGCTGAAAGATGAAGTAGCAGCACTGCCAGTGAGATAGATGAACTTTCAAAGAGCTAAAGGAACAAAGAGAACTTGTCACTCTAATGTTTTCACTGATTAATATTCATATTCATAATATTCATTAGCTATATCTGTAATCCTAAGATCATACCCTACTTACCAGGACAAAACGAGGGGCCAGAGCAGTTCAGTTATTGCCCCTCTCATCACCTATCATGTGGACTCTACCTATATTCCTGGGTTAAGGGGCTGGACCACTTGACTTCCAGAGTTCTGGCAGCTTTTGGAATGACAGCAATGGCATTAGGGTTTATTGTGCAACAATGATCTGAAGCATTATCTGGAATATATTTTGGCACAAGCTTGAAATAAACCAAAGTTGATAACAATGATGATGATCTTCTGTTTTTTCCTCCTACACATGAAATTATATGCATAGAAAAACAGTGCACTAAATAAGATCTTTGATTAATGTTCTTTCCAGTGGAAAAATTTAGCTGCATGTAAAACATAGCCAGAGAGCTTGTTTTTATCCTGAACAAGATCTACTGCAGGGGGATAGTAGAGAATAAGACAGCTGAATACATCAGACACTAGAATGGCAATATGTCAATCAATGGAAGTGTAACTGATGTGATACAGCAATCTGTATACGGGGTAAAAATGGGAGTTCATAACCCACTTGAATCAAACTGTGAAATATGATATATTAAGAACGGTGTAATGTTTTGAATTACCAACAATTAAAAAAAAAAAAAGATCTACTGCAACTAAATAAGTGTTCCCTGCCCCTCTTGTTTAGCACAAAGTCCAATTCCAAATGAAGAGTAAGACAATTGTCTAGGTCAGATTCATCTAAGTACCATATAGGGCTGAGGTGCCTTTATGAGAGCCAATATTTCACTGCAGAATCTGTCACTGTCTTTATAAAGACCAACCTAGGTTTATTTTGTGATGTAGAAAAAGAAAATCCGAGATACAGCCAATTCTGAGGATAAGACAACTTTTGTTATCTAAAACCCAAAGTTTTTGGATGGTCAATGAGCACTTTCAGTGAGAATATAGGTGTGTACTGCCGTGCCCACTCCCTTAAAGTCAGTCAAACAAAACTGCATTAAATTGATCTAAATATTCCCATTTCCCTGCATAAAGCAGGGGACCAACATATGCGGCGGCAGAGATTTTCTGTGTCACATATCCCAATACTAGCTGAGAGGCCTTTTAAACTTAGAACTGATTAAAACCCATTCCAAGTAGAAGTCTTGACAACAGAAGGATCTCAAACCTCTGAAACAGAATAATTTTGGGCAAGTGCCAGACCACTACAACCTAAGACTTATGGAATAAAAACAAGACCTAGGAATGTCATGATAGTTCAATCTTGTAATGTTTTCCATTAGATTGAAGGATACAAGGTCAATTACCTAAATGTAGGATTTCCTTTTCAGTTTTCAATACTTAATGCAATAGAAACCGACCAGCACTACTCTGTGCCAAAGTGATGGAAACCCTATCTTGAAATATTCATCTTGCTCTAGATAACTATCCTATAAACAGTAGTTCAGGGGCTGGGGTTGTAGCTCAGTGGTATAATGCTTGCCTATTGTGGGTCACTGGGTTCAAGCCTCAGCACCACATAAAAATAGACATAGTACCTTTACTTATGTATATATCTACAAGTAAAAACAAACAACAAAACGAATCAGTATACTCATTCTGGATTTCAGTGCACACTTGTAATCCTAGCAACTGAAAACACTGATACAGGAAGATCACAAATTTGAGGTCAGACTTGGTACTTTAGCAGACTCTCTCAAAATAAAAAGGGATGGAGATATACTTCAGTGGTAGAGCATCCCTTGGATTAGTCCCTAGGACCACAAAAAAACTAAATAGTATATTCATTACAAAAAGTTATTTTATTAACAGCCTCATACTGTATCTGCTTACTTAGTCTTTGAAATGCTTAAGATTCCAGAATTCAGTTAGTCTTAGTGGTAAGTAAAAGACCAAGCAAGTATAAGAATAAGGACTGATAGCCCAGCAGGCCTCATCCAAGAGTCCTTAATCTAAATCAAATTTTTATGAGTTCAGGCATACAACCTTAAAACCTACATTCTAATTAACAGGGGAGTTTTGCTGATAGAGAAAAGATCCTGTGAAGAGACTCACTCCTTTGGCTACAGAGCTCAGACATTTTATTTTATCATTATTTGAAAGTGAAAGAAGAAATCAGATCTTCAACTACTTTTCTTGGAGACCTGTTAGCCCTGAGTCCATTCCAAGACACTATGTCAAAGGTATTTTATACCTCTATAAACACCAAAGAAATCACAAAGATTAACATGCTCCAGAAGGAATAAACATTTCAGATCAGTTTGTGAATACTGACCTGTCTCCTATTTACACAATTAGAAAGGCTGATATAATAGCTATTTTCCTGCATGTAGTCCTGGCACTCACAACAAGGAAGAAGCTTGTGAAGAACCCCAGGGAGCAGTCCTCTCCATTAGATTGCAGCACTTAAAAAAAGTTTACCACAGGGGAAAAAAATCCAATAATTCAGTCTTTGGCGTCTCCCACACCATCCGCATTGATGGCAAACATAGCTTCAGCTTCAGGAAGACAAGGAGAGTCGTAGATTTTGCAGATTCTTGTTTCCCCTCTTCCTTTCCTCAGGTATAATCTGACCCAAACACACAGACCAAAGCACCAAGTTATTATAATTACATCCTGACTTTATAATAGAGCTTTTTTAGATATATATGTATACGTCCTACAAGGACATTAGGGATTTTAGTGCATTTCTAACCTGGAGAAATCCATTCTCTCTGACCCCTTTAGTGGAATGCTCATACTGAAACAGACACTTTTCAGAATAATCAGGCAGAGGTTCAATACTCATTCTTCAATAACAGAGTTTTAAATTCCTTTATGAACCAAAAGCAAACACCAGTACCAATCAGAGTAAGACAATTAGATTTAGCAAGAGTTCCCAAGTGTTTAATTACACAATGTCAGCTTTAATATGGTTTATTTTATTTTATAAAATATCTATTTCTTTAGTTTTTAGGTGGACACAATATCTTTATTTGCTGAGAACCAAACCCAGTGCCTCACACACTCTAGGCGAGTGCGCTACCAATTGAGCCACATCCCCAGCCCTTTAAAATGGTTTAAATGGAAATGTTTTATTGTCTTGTTTAGTTCACAGTTAATAGAACATATATTTAAGCAAGAAATATTAATGCCATCACCTTACCTGGTGGTTGATGCATGGGCAATGATGTTTCCTCCAATAGGCTTTTTGGGATCCGCAGCAAACATGGCTGCTCCATCCACTTGAGCTACCACTTGGTTGGTGATTACCACTGCTACACCAAACTGATGGGGAAAGGACGTCAGTTTTGTAGCTAGGGACATTCCAAGAACCTTAATGCTGCCACCACTTTCCCCCACAAAGCAACGAATGACTAAGGTTTCTCTTCATTTTTAAACTAATAACTTGATATTAGGCACTAATGTCCTCACCTCTCAGCAAGGTTCCTGTAAATTTTTGTAGCCCTGCAGCTTACCTCATCAGCAAGTCTCAGAAGCATCCGCAGAAACCTGGCCAAATGCATCTGCCTGGCTGAGAGCTCTCCTCGACCTGAGTAGTCTGTTCTGTAGAGAGCAGTAGCACTGTCTACAATAAGCAGTGCATACCTAAAGGGAACAAGAATTTTCTTTTTTTTTTTTCTCTTGGTACGAGGGGTTGAACCCAGAGGCACTCTACTACTGAGTTACACTCCCAGGCTTTTCTATTTTTTTTTTTTTTTTTTTGAGAGAAGGTTCTCAATAAGTTGCCAAAGCTGGCCTTAAATCTGAGATCCTCCTGCCTCACTCTCTTGAGTCACTAGCCCAACAAGAACAAGCATTTTCTGAAGACTTTCTAGCCTGTGTCAGTTTCTATTCCTTTATTCAATCCTCTAAAATCTCATATTTTAATTTTCATATAGGTGTTTAGATTATGTTTCTTTTTTGTATGTGTATGGTGATAAGAATTAAATCTAGGGTCTCACACATGCTAGGCCAAGTGCTCTACCACTGAATTATACTCCCAGCCCTTGGCTTCATTTTTCATTAGTGACTCGATCACAAAACAAGAGTGTCAAAATAGGCCAGGAGTGACTATGTACACCCGTTATCCCAGCTATTCCAGAGGCTGAGGCAAGAGAATTGCAAAGTTTAAGGCCAGCCTGGGCAACTGAGTGAAACCATGTCTCAAAAAAGGGCTGAGGTATACAACTCAGTGCTTTAAGTGTGTGCCTAGCAGACATGAAGCTCTGGTTCAATCTCCAGTAAAGCCCATGTGCATATACACATGTCATAAGCATAATAACAGAAATTAAAATTCTCCATTTCTAATTCGGGTTACTATGAACAAGATACAAAAAGCTCTGGGAACATATTTGGTATCTTCTAAGCACATACCTAGACTCTACCATCATGGCTGATGCTTGATAAAGGAGCTGAGTCTGGTGGTCTGTGTTGAATCCTCGAGCATATGCTACATTATCCAGGACATCACTGCCAGAGAGACCATATCTAGAAAAGAGAACATTTCAGGCACAGAACTCAGTCGGGTGAGAAATTCGTTTCTAAGATTTAAATTACCAGGATGGGTAGGTAAGAAGTGGTACCGACAGTGCTTTCAAGATCCAAGAATATAAATACCTTTTTTCCCCTTTTTTGGTGGTGCTGAGTATCAAACCCAGGTCCTTATGCATGCTAGACAAGTGCTCTCTCACTGAGCTACATCCCCAGCACTAAATCCCTTTCTATTATGATATGCAGGCAAACTTCAGAGAAAGATGGCAGCAGCGATTGTTAGAGTAGATATCTAGTACCTGGTAAGACTTTAAGATAAATCAAATTTATTCTTTGAACCACCCTAAGATACCATCTCACTCCAGTAAGATTGGCAGCCACTATGAAGTCAAACAACAACAAGTGCTGGCGAGGATGTGGAGAAAAG